ACAACTATTGGATGACTGGAGTGGGTGACCGAAACAGTGGCGGCGGCGAGAGTTTTCCCTTGCTGGCGACGGTGGCTGGAAACCCAAGGGTTTCAAATCCTAATGGTTTTATTGGGCTAGGGTTTGGGCTAGGGTTTGGGTTAGTTAGTCTTGAGTTGTAATTGGGCCCGATTTGAGCATATTGTAATGGGCCTGTAAAAGAAAGAAATAAAAAAAATAATATTAATAATAATTAACAGTTTCAACCCGGACAAAACGAGTGTAAACAATATCAATACTTCTTCACAAAAATCGAAACTTTCGAATTAAAAAAATAAAAAATGAGAAAGCTGCAAAGTATTGAACTTTTCCACAAATACAAGAGCATAAGTATCAATATAAAAAAAGTATCGAACCTCATAACATATGTATCGATATTTTAACTATCAATCATATTTATCAACTTGTTCAATATCTAAAAGTCTCTATCATCATCACATAAGTATCGATATTTTAAATTTTGATCTTTTTATCAATATTTTCAATTTTTAAAAGTATCAATCATTACCGTATAAGTATCGATATTTAAATTTTTAAACTATTTTTTTGTGCAACCTATTTATTAATAAAAATATTAACATAACATATCGCAACATATTTCTTAGTGACCTATGACATTCTTGGGCGCAACCTATTTTATTAAAAAAAATATTAACATTACATATCGCAACCTACTTTCTTAGTGAATCATAACATTCTTGAACGTAACATGTTTTATTAATAAAAATATTAATATTACAGATCATAACCTATTTATTAGTTAATTATAACATTATTGAACGTAACTGTATTTCTTATATATATTAATAACATTTCAGCTTTTAATTTATTCTTTTATCGTGGGAAAATTCAAAGCTCCATCAGCTTAAACTCTGATAACATTTTAGGCGCAACTCATTTTATTATTAAAAAATATTAAAATTTCATATTGCAACATACTTTTTTAATGAACCATGACATTCTTGGACATAACCTTTTTTTATTAATAAAAATATTAACATTACAGATCGCAATATATTTATTTGTGAACCATGATATTATTGGGTGCAACTGTACTTATATATATACATAACATTTTCAGCTTTTAACTTATTTTTTTATTATGAGAAAATTCAATACTCTATCAGCTTTAACTTTAATAATATTTTAGGCACAACAGAAAATATTAATAATATTCATGACATTTTATAACTCATTTTCTTACGCTGTAACACATTTAACCTGTAATATTTTTATAAATCATATCGTTTTTTAATATTATTTTAAGCAATCTCGGAGCAGAACCTCTCAAGTTATAAAGAGATGTAGCGCCGTCTAAATCCAATGTCCCTAAAATTTAGGAGAAACAAAAGGGAGGAAATCCAATGTTCCTTAAAACAAGAGAAACAGGAGGAAAGAGCACACAAACAAGTTGGAGTGGAAATAAAAACAATGGTCGGATTCATCCACGTGGGCTACCGGACCCCTAATTCCGACACGTGTTTCTACCAATACGTGGAATTTCACAAGCCCTACAAACACCACACGAGTCATTGAAACTGATAGTGAGAAGAAAAGTTAAAGGGCAAATTACAAATTTAATCAATTGACTTTCATTCTACTCCTATTTTGGTCACTAATTTTTAAAATTTTAATTTAATTATTAAATTTTAAATTGTTTCTGTTTCGATCACTAGTGGCCTTATGGGTATCTTAAAATTAAGGAAGATGAAAAGGCAAGATGTGAGTTTTGAAATGAACTCACAAAAAATGTCAGCACAATCACTTACGTTCTTTCTAAATCAAAAAGAGCAACGGCATTACTAAATTAATGGTTTATTGGACACGATTGTAACGGTGACAGAACATAAGTTACAACTAAAAAGTACGTACTTTAAAATGAGTATGATCCAACAATTAACAATAAGGATTACACAAGAAGAAATCAAAGCATTTAACGTTGAAATTATATAATCTAGAGTGTTTTTTTATTAAATGAACATTGAATTTATGTTTGAGAGACGAAATGAGTTTCATAAAAAAATAGAGATTCATTGACCCAAGGGCGGACCTTATAGTTGCCCTGGGTATCCCAGGCAACCCCTCAAAATTGTCTACTTAGTGTTAATTGTTTCTATTTTTTTTAATTAATACAAGTGACACCTCTAATATTGTGTGTAACTGTTGCTCTTTATTATAGGAAAAAATTAATATTATAAGAGTTTTTTTTTGTGTAACTCCTGAATTTTTGTCCTGGGTCCGCCTCTGCATTAACCATCCCTGGTGATGGTTAATAATGGCTGATACGGTTACCAAAATTTGGGCATAAAAAAAAGAAAATGAGAGAAAAAAATAAGAAAACATGACAAATGGAAAATGATAAAAAAATGAGTTTTATATGAATTTAAAATGACATCATTTTTATACATTTACTTTTTCAAAATGATATCATTTTGATGCAATATATCATGTCATAACATCGTTAACTATTTAACGTAAAATGATCAACACATGAGTAATTCAAAAATTTAATGATTAAATTGAATATTTATACATTTTAGTGAATAAAATAGGAGAAATAAGAAAGTTCAATGATAATTTTATAGTTTACCCAAAGTAAATTTATTTTTATTTAAGGTTTATAGAAATAAAAAATAGGGAAATAACAAAATGATGGATATTATCTCATATTTGTGTCAGATCCGGTCCGATTTTCAAAATGATGGATATTATCTCATATTTGTGTCAGATTATTTAGAAAAATAATATTACATTTATAGTTTAAAATGGTTTTTTTAAGGTTAGCGGTTGATTGAAAGGTCAACAGATGTCGACTTTTGTGGCAATTTTTTCATATTTCGATAACTCCCACCATGCTAATGACACGTAACAATGTATATTGTAAGATATATTTCGATTAAATTAACAACTAAGTACCTTTCATTTAATTTTTATGTTTATGAGTAGTACAAGTTGTCCCTTTTTCTGCTTTTACTTTATTGGAATATTTAGATAAATCCAAAGCATAATAGAATAACTTTTTAAAAAATAGTTATGAAAGATTTTTTATATAATTATTCATATTTAATTTATTAATTGATTAATTTAAATTAAATACTATAAATATTCATTATAAAAATAATCTTTTTGATTTAATTTATTTTATCAAAACGTTATAATTTAAATCTTAAACATCGAAAGACGTAACGTTTTATCCCATCTCTATAAAATTTTATAATTTATTTTTACAAGAACCAACGACGACCACCAAATTGACATGTTTCAAAAACTTGATAACCATTTTGTCCTTACCCATCTGGGAAACAATGCTTCTTTAAGCACTCATTACATGTGTACCATTATGAGTTCCTTTTTCTTAAAATTTCTCAACGTATTTATTAGAACGAATTCAATGATTTATTTTTTTTTATATTCTATACATTTAAATAAAATTATATTCTGACTATAAATTTTAAATCAATTCTATATTTAAAGGATTGATTAAAATCTATAATTATGGGTACATGTATATAATGTATAATGTTATCGTAAAGTATAACACAAACTAAAGTGATTAATTATGTGTAATCAGGGGTGCTTATCAAGCAAGTTGAACGCGAGTTGTGTAATGCTCGACTCGTGCTCGTTAAAAAATTTTGTTACTCGACTCAACTCGTTGCTCGTTAAGTTCGTTAAAATTTTGTTCGACTCGTGCTCGTTAAAAAAAATTTGTTGCTCGACTTGTGCTCGTTAATTTTTTTTTTTGTTCTATTGGTTCTAAAAGTTTTGATGATGTTTTCATTGGTTATGCTTTAAATAGTGTGGATTATCGATTTATTTCATTGTATGATTATTCAATTTGTGAATCTCGAAATGTTGTATTTTTTAAAAACATTTTTTCTTTAAAGAAATCTATTTCAATGCATGATAATTTTGCTCCTTCCGCTTTAAATAAACATGCTAGAGATATTGATTTTGATAGTGAACTTAAGAGGAGTAAAAGACAAAAAACTACAACTAGTTTTGGTCTAAACTTTCTCACTTCTTTTATTGTTAAATTTGATGACTTAGACTCGATTAATGATTCTATGGCTCAGACCTTTCTAATAGATTATGATCCAAAAATGCATGAATAAGCTATTAATTCTACTTATGCTAGATTTTGAGAAATGCTATTAATGATGAACTTGAATCTATCTTATCTAATCACACTTGGAAATTAGTTTTGGTCTCTGATATACACTGTGCTGACGTAAAAAATTAATAACAAATCTCTTAATCAAAATTGTCAATACAAAAATCGCATATATATAAATACTTACCGTATATCGTAGCCGCCAACCACTCGTTGATGAATTTAACACATGCACTTGCCCACCCAACATCAATGCTCCACCTGCGTGTGACCGTAAAATCATATATGGATCGACGCAAGATTTTATATTAGGATGATTAATTTTTAAAATATTGAGAGATATGAATTTAATGACTAAAACTGAAGTTTTTAAATTTGAGTATATTCTATTTTTTTTTCCGATGAAAATCTCTTCATTTCATAATATAAATCTAAACTATTTATTTTCATTCATTTGACGATCCAGAAAACATATAAAACTTAAAATCGTTACTCGTTTGCCGAGTCTTCCAGGTTCCAACTGATGAACAACATTGCAAAGTACATGGCCCCCAATGAAAATATCATGTGGAAAAATCCGTAGTGATAACGTATAAAGAATACCCTGCACCGACACGAGCAACTTCTCCTGCAAGAAAGAGGAAATGAGGTCCTTAATTTGGGGTATGATGAAAAGGAGAAACGTCTTCTCTGTAGTTTCTAGAATTAGAAGATGTATAGCTCCACTCATGATCCTAAAGTACAAGTAGAGCACTGGTGCATACATCCATACTAACATGATTAAAGTTTCGAGTTCTTACAATCGGGATTCGAAGCAAACATACCGTATACGTGGATGAAATCTGGAGGGAGGAAGAATGGTACAACCATGGATACAAGCAACAGGACGAGCTTCATCCCCCACCATCCTGAGTGCCATTTACTGCAAGCTTCATATAATTTTCTTGCAGTGAATGTGGTTAGAAACATGAGAAGGAAAAACATCTGGAGTTTATGTCAAGGAACACGATTTTCGAAGTTGGGAAGTAAACATGAATATAAGTACATGTCAACACATACATACACTGTTAATGGGAAGATACAAAACATCCGAAACTCACTCGAAGAACTCCGAATGTGTGAAAGCAATCGTGTCCGGTGATTCCACAAGCTTCTTTATCTGTGAAGATAATATTTTTCGTACGTAAAATACGGAAGAAAAGAAAACAGAACATGTAATCCAACATCTCCCACGCAGGTTCAGATGAGCATTACTTCAACAACAGGAATGTACCACAGGATATATGCTCAAAATCAATGGAAACATAATTTTATTTTTGATAATACACTCAAGGAATCACAGACTTGACTCACAGTAGAGTGGAGGGAAAACACTGTGGCCATAATCTCGAATGAACCAAGCGGTTAGGTTGGCAACGAAGAAGATTATGCCGTAAACGTATCTGGCTCGGAGTGACTCGTTCCTCGCTTCGAAACAGTCTATATTCCTCGGATCCACTGACGATACCTTTAGTTGCTGAGAGTTGCTTGAACTTATATGTATCACAGTAGATTCAAGTTCAACTGCTGAAATAGACACGCTCATCTCTGCCATTTTCAAGCAATTAAATAGTTGTAATCAGTTGCTTCTAATCTGTATATTGCGTATGTAATTATCATCTTAGTATGCCATAAGAGAAGACCAAGAACAATGGAAGAAGATCTCTTTGATGGACATGGAAAATATTAATTCAAATGATAAATAAATAAATAAATAAATAATGCATGAAAAAAAGGTTGAAATTTAGAAACCTTTTCCTTTTGAGTGTAAATTCCCTGTCTGGCAGTCTTGAAGAACATAAATATCAATGAATCTTCCTCGGCTATTCGTTCAAGTTGCTTCTTTTTCAGCCCTTTTTAACGTTTTTACATTAATTTTCTGATCACCATCCAAATCGTCTTCAGCTTGAAGCTTTGAATTTCTATCATTTTCTAAGCAACCAAACAAATATTTTGCATATTATTCAGGAAATTGCCCCCAAAGAAATAGCAATAAACGTATTTCTGTTACTTGTTCGTCTCTCCTTTTTTTACAGCTTCACGACGTCTTCTTCCGTGTCGTTGATGGTGGTCTATTCGGGGGTCGACGATGTTACATTTTGTTGCTTTATAAATATTTTACACTTAAATAATTCGCATGTATATATTTTATTAAAAAAACTAAAAAAAATTTATTTATAAATATGATGAAAGGTACACCAAGACACTTGGACATCGTTACATATCAATATGGCAGTACCAATAATTTGTAGAGAATGATCATCTCGCTCAACTCTAACTCTAAAAACAAAAACTTGAAACCAGGGAAATGCCCTTAGTGTATTGTTAGGAGGAATAACCTCAATAATCCATGCCTCCCATACCGCTGGGCATTGCCGGAACTTCCTTCTCGTCCTTGGGAAGTTCGACTACAACGGCTTCGGTTGTTGTCATCAATGAGGACACACTGCACCACAAAGGAAACATACTCAGCTACTTACTTTCAGGAATCCCAACCGATAATGTGATCCGAGAAAACAGTTATACGACGGCTTACCTTGCAGCATCGACCAAAGCAGTTCTTATTACTTTCAATGGATCAATGAAACCCGCCTTCACCATATCGACATATTCACCTGGTTATGCAGCAAAGATATATGTATAAGCTAGGCTAGTTTTTTGGAGCGTAAATAAATACGATGAAGGTAACTCGTAAGAGATTCACATACCTTTGGCTGCATCATACCCGAGATCAGGGTTATCCTGCTCCAACAGCTTACCGACAATAACGGCTCCCTCGACTCCGGCATTTGAAGCAATTGTGTGCACAGGTGTCTGCAACAGAAAATTCATGTATAAGGGGGCAGAAACCTCACACATCAAAATCACAAGCATTTTGAAACCTTATAGTCAACACTATAACGAGAATAGAATTCTCAGCATTCGATCCATCCGACATGGAGAAAAGGTTCACAACAAACCTTTAGAGCATTCTGGATAATTTGAACACCTATCTTCTGGTCAAAGTTGGCTGTAGGTAGCTTGTCCAACTCTTTCGATGCATACAAAAGAGCGACACCACCACCTAAATGATACAATTCCTTTAGTAATGTTTCCATGATATTCCAAGTTTAACTGAAACTTCATGAAAAAACCATTGACTTCAAAAGTTAATTACCTGGCACAATACCCTCTTCTACAGCTGCCTTTGTAGCATTTAATGCATCTGTAACTCTATCCTTCTTCTCGCCAACTTCAGCTTCGCTAGCTCCTCCAATCTGGCAATGTCCGACAAGTTATGAGTTTCATCAACTCCATTTAAGCAGAGCAGCAAATAGGAACCGAACAGCCATTACATTTCAAAGTAGACAAGTTCAAAATATCAAAAACTAACTAATAAGGTACCATACCTTCAAGACAGCCACACCACCAGAAAGCTTTGCCAGTCTCTCTTGCAGCTTATCTTTATCATAGTCAGAGGTGCTCAATTCAATTGCTGACCTAATCTGTTATCGCGAAAGACATGTTATATAATATGAACTGTTAACGAAATCATGTAGAGCTCAAGAATCAAAAGATATAAACAACTGTTTGTAAAAGAACAAAACCTGTTCACATCTTTCTTCAATAGATTTCTTGTCACCATTCCCGTCAAGAATAACGGTGTCATCCTTCGAGACCGTCACCTTTAGCAGCCAAATGAAAACTATCATGCATCAAAAAAGATGTTCGTCTACATACAAAAAAAATGATGGAATATCACATTGGGCAAAGACTTTAGCGTCCAGACTATAGATATCATACCTTTTTGCAAGTTCCAAGCATGTCCAGATCCACCTTTTCAAGGTTCATGCCAAGTTCTTCGGTTATAACCTACACCCGATAAGTAACAGATAACATCACCATGAGGTTATGAAAATTCACGTCAGAAGAACCATACACCATGAACAAGATACTATTATATAGAAGAAAAACAAAATCGCCCTACCTCTCCTCCTGTGAGGACAGCAAGATCATGCAAACTAGCCTTCCTGTTTTCTCCAAAACCGGGGGCTTTGATGGCACAGACCTGCCCCATAATTAATACATATATATATTCACAAGCATTCCTAAAAAAGAGGAGAATTAACAAAGGAAATCATATCTGACTGAAAATCAAACCTTGATTCCAGCACGAAGCTTGTTAAGAATGAGTGTAGCAAGTGCTTCACTCTCTACATCTTCAGCTACGATCAGCAACGACCTTTGCCTCTGAACAAATATAGCATAGAAGATATTAATGTTATGAAGGAAATCTAATTTCAATACAGTCTCAATGAGAAAAACATTTAGATGAATGATGATTAATCAAAAGGATGTATGCATGATTTGTTAAAAATTTGTTTACCTTTAAAGCTAACTCTAGTACTTTTACAACAGCATTCAAGCTCGATATTCTCTTCTCGTGAATTAGGATAAGAGGATCATCTAATTCCTGCCATAACACAATGAATTGAATAAGCAGCATCATAACTTGATCAAAACTGGGGACTCAAGAGATTCTCCAGTTCTGTCAAAGGAGAAATGAGTTACTTACACATTTTTGGTTTTTCGTATTGGTGATGAAATATGGAGATATGTAGCCCCTGTCCAGCTTCATGCCCTCGACAACTTCCAATTCGTTAAACAGAGTTTTTCCATCCTGAAAAGGTTTAACCCAAAGTAAGTCATCATATCAGGTATAAAACAGTTCAAAAATTTTGATTTATTGCAAGCAAGAGAAACCAACACTTTAACTTTAAAAGCCAATATGATATGAAGGTACTGATACCTGAATTGTTATCACCCCTTCTTTGCCAACCTTCTCCATGGCCTTTGCAATTAACTCGCCAATTTCCCTCTCTCCATTAGCTGATATTGTTCCAACCTATTAAGAAGTATTTAACTTGAAGCCTTAGTAGATTAAAGTTTACCACCACTTCGGTTTTGATCCAAAAGTACTGCATTGTTCTGACTGCAATAAGCTTTTGATAGAAAATCATTCAATAGGAAAAACAACCTGAGCTATCTCTTCAGATGTGCTAATCATCCGTGCCCGACTTTTCAAGTTTGTCACAACAGTGTCAACTGCCACTGTTATGCCACGCCTCAGGTCCATCGCATTCATTCCTGCAGCCACCGACTTGCATCCTTCTGTAAATATTGCTCGTGTAAGCACTGTCTCACAGGTGGTCCCTGCAAAAATGTCAAGAATTTCATGACTCAGATCCCCATATATAAACAATGCAGTTGAAAGCAGATGTTTAGAACGAAGGATATAGTACATGCAAAAAGGATGCATCTACAATAGATGTCAAGACCAATAACCTTAAAAAAATCTAATTTTGAAGATTCAAAACGAAACCATTTGATTCGAAAACACGCTTGTGCCTTAACATCACCAGCTACATCGTTGGTGGCATTCGCAACTTGTTTCACAAGACTGGCACCAACGTTCTTGACTTTGTCTTTGAATTCAATGCTCTTTGCAACAGTTAAACCATCTTTAGTCACTTTGGGGGCACCATAGCTTTGTTCAATAACCACATTACGCCCCTATCAATAAATACATTGCATCATTTTTCCGTTCAATAATGACGAGGAAGGAACAAACCGATTTCAATCAATGATCACCATTGGAGCTAATACGAAACGAAGATGGTGAATATTGGATTTACCTTAAGACCCATGGTTACTCTAACAGCATCAGCAAGCTCTTCGACACCTTTAAGCATCGAAGCTCGAGCTTTAATCCCAAATCTAATATCTTTTGCTGCATAGTTCCTATTCCAACTCAATCTACTACCAATCTAAAACACACCCAAAGTGGAAATCAGTAAAAAAAAACTCAAATCAACCTAAAAACTAACAATAACAATAACAATAACAATAAAAAGATCGGAACTAATGGTAAATTAGCTACCTGATGTGAAGTGTTCCTAGCAATCCTGAAACCAAAGAATGAAAAACAGAGAGAGTGTAAGATAGATCATTTCAAAGGAACAAAAACAGTGAGAAATGAAGGAATTGGGATGGAAAAGTACCTAGCTTTGGAAGCCAGGCTTGAAGCAAAACGATACATGATTGGTTTGGGACGACAAAAGAATGTTAAAAGTGGAAGCTTTGGGGGTGACAATAGGCAATGTGTGGGTTTCAGGCTCTGTGTTTTAATAAAGAGGAAGCCGGAACAGAGATTGGGGAGAAGAAGGCTCTAGAAGCAGTTTCTTAATCCTTTTTAGGGTTTAGGGTTTTATCATTTCATTTTGTTGTTGTTGTTATGGAGTCGTTTTTTAAGAGTAAATTATGTGTTTAGTAATTAAATTTTTAATTTTTTTTTATTTTTGTACCTAAACTTTTAATTTTTTAAAATCATACATAAAATTTAGTTTATGGAAATATTTCATCCACCCGTAAAATCTTATAAAGTAAAAGAAACTGATCAATAAAATTTAACATCATTAAATTTGTTCATCTCATAAATTTGTATAATCCTTCTAGTCAAATGTAAATTAAATGAGTTTTTTTTAAAGAAACATTAAAAAGAATTAATGTGATATATAACACCAAATATTAGAGACATAGGTGTGGATACATAATGGATAATATTGTTTATTACTGGTATCTGGTCCAGAATATAAATACCTAGCTCACCTTATTATGTACTATGATATCAATTTAGAGGTGGCAAACGAATCATTCAGATCAGTTTCATTTCTAATCATTTTGGTTAATATTTAATTCAGATTAAGTTTAGGTCAGGTCGGATCATTTCGGGTTTCGATTTTATTCGAGTCTATAGTAAGTCGGGTTGGGTCATTTCAAGTTTCAATTTTATTTGGGTCTATAGTAAGTCGGGTCGTTTCGGGTAAATATCAGATCAGTTAATTTTCGAGTCGGATCAATTATTTTCGGTTTGATCTTCAAGTCAATTCAAGTTGAGTTGGATATAAATCAAATTAAGTATATATAGAATTATTGATATGTTTTTGTAAAATATGTTTTTCTTTAAATCTTATCAGTTTCATTCAAATTCAATTATTATATACGGATTATAATTTAATTCAAACTCGATCTATAAAATATATTAGAGTTTGTGATATTTTTTTATTGACTCGAACTAAAAAGTTTATGGTACGATCTATTTGATTAGAAAACAAAAAAATTAATTATAAATTTTATTATCTATTAAAATTTTAAATTAGATACTTAAAGCTTAATTATAAATATATTATTTTTATTAAACTTAAAAGTAATAATAATATACTATTTAAGTTTGAATAAATATTATTCTAAATATATTTATAAATAATATTATATTATTATATCATCGCTAATATTTTAATTTTAAATTATAAAAAAATAGATATCTTTATATTATAAAAATAAGTTATTTGTGTAGTATAAAAATAAAACATTTTTATATTAGATTTAAATAACCATATTTTTTCATATACGAAGGAATTAAAATAATTTGTAAATTAATTTAATAGTTTTGGAAAGTTATTTTAGTAGTTCCAAAGTAAAATATAATAATCCATTTCAATCATAGTTTAACCTAAATTTTATTTTTTTTCCAAACATATAATAATATAACTTACCGACTAATTAGGGGAAGTCTCAGGTGCGACAACCTAGTATACGGTTAAGAAAAAGACATTAACGGAAATGTTATTATTTTTTTAACATTTCCGATAAAGCATTACCTAAAACACTATTTGTTCTACCGGAATGTTAATATTGGACGCTACCTAAATATTATTTTTTTCAACCGGAAATGTTAATATTGGATACTACTTAAAATATTATTTTTTTCTACCGGAAATTAGCTAGTGAAATCAACATTTCCAGTACAACAAAAAATGTTTTATGTAGCGCTTTACCGGAAATATTAAAAAATAATTACATTTCCGATAGTACCTTTCCTTAACCTTATATTAAGAAAGACTAGTTAGTTTGAAACAAGCTAAATACTAATAGAATTTGATTCGTTTGCATGGCAAGCAAGCAATTCACCAAACCATGCTTAATATACAGGTTAGTCCAAAAGTGTCTCGTTCGCCACCAGATTTTATCATAAAATACAAACCCTTTTCCTGCCATGAAAGATCCTCAAAATATGACCCCTAGGTAACTAGGTTACTGGGCCTAAAATGTAAGCTTCGGATACAGATATGTATCGAACACAGAATTGATCATGCGTATCGAACTTTATGTGTACTTAAGCAAGAAATGAAGAACCGAAGCAACAGAGTCGATAACATTTCAAAGAAAATAGAAAAGAAAGGAAAAATAGGATATGCAGACATTCAAACATTTCTCCATTACAACATCAGAGAAGAAATGATTAATGGATATGCTTATCTATCGTAAGAAGTTTGAACTATAACCTATACACAATCAACCAATATACAAATGGCAAGCAAACAGAAAACACGTGGCCAAAAACAACATAGCAAAGCAAACCAATTTATCAAGACAATCTAGTCGGCAAGGTGGCAAAGTGCGGAACAAAGGAAATCCAAGACAGATTTAACAATGGAAGCCATGGCAGACTGACAGCACAATGATAAGAATCAAGGCAATGAGGATACCCAAAACGATCAATTTTATCTTCATATTCTGAAGCCACATCTTTCTTCTCATTTTTGTTCCCTGCTGCCTAAAATCTTGGGCCTGTAATTCAGTTTTAAGTTCATTTGCGTTAAATGTATTATATGGTGTATCAAAATAAGATACAGTTGGAATGGGACTAACCTGTGAGTGAAGGTTCTCAGTTTTATCCACCAGCAACTCAATCTTCTCACCACGATCGAGGACCTGGTCAAAGAAAAGTGTTATTAATGAAAGAAAACAACATGCTACAAGCATTATATCCGAACTTTCATTCTGTTTTGTACGCCATGCCTCGAAAGTTGGAAAAGCTGGTTATACATCTTGCCATGTCTTAACCCTCAAACTACACCTAGAACAGTGATGGGTTTAGCAGCAATTTATTACCTTCTCGATGTTTTCCATCATGACACCCTTGACTTCAGAAACTTGAGCTTTCACTTTAGCAAGTTTGCTGATCTCTTCAGGATGGTCCACACAGTACTGCATATGCTCCTTCAATTTGGACCTATCATGTATAAAAATATAAGCATATTTCCAAGAAGTCAAAAAAGAAATCTGAGAAGAAAAATAGAGAGCTAGATACCCAAACTCTTTATTCAGGCTTTTGGCCGGAGCAGTTGCTGCCTTCCCTCCTCCATATCTCTTGTTGAAGTCTTCCTTCACTCTTTCCAGAACTGCAATTGGAACTTGCCTGCCAACAGATTCAACAGCAACTACACAGTAGGCTGTAGCACCAAAATCATACCAGAAGTCAGCAAGTAGATCTATGACTAAAACCATTAAGTTTGGAAAAAGGAATCTCTCCCTTACTCTCCATGAAGGCACCATGATGCATATGACATACAGCTTCAATATTATCAATATGAACACTCTAGCACCCAAATAGCAGCTAAAAGACAACAGCCTGCTGAACTGTATAAATGAGAGTTACATGGATTTGCCCCATCGATGGGAATGATTAGAAGGTAAGATTCTTTGATTGAAAGGCTGGTCATAACAGTATAAGCTAACTAAAAATGTGTAACTAGGATTTCTAGTTTTCTTATTTCCTTGTTTAGTACGGATTTTGCTTCCTAGCAATGTTCTTTACTATCTATATAGTAAGCATTCATTTGGTACAACCAGCATAGAACCCAAACCCAAATGCAGAGCACATGCATCCACAAATACGTTAACAGAGGACGGCCAGAGTTCAATAGGAAATGCAACTAGCTAGGGGAAGGCACATAAATCAGTCCCAAATCTTGCAGATCGTAAATTATGCGAACCATTAAACGATGTTACAATCTCACTGGATATTACATCAATTTGCTTATCTAAAAAAGGAAATGGAAGACATCCAAAGAAGAATATAAGTCTGTCATTAACACACCTATTTAGATTCTTAATTATACATCCAAACAAAACATGTCTTTGCTTCTTTTAATTGATGATAAACGGATAAACGGATAAACAAAACAACAGTTACATAAAGATATGAAGATATAGAATGAGTTAAATATCAAGGATCAAAGTAAAAAAAAAATGTAGAAATGGAATCCAAAGCATCATTTAAACACAATAAAAATGTTCAAATTAGATTTCTTCCCCTCCGCTTTGACCAAACAAAACATTGTACAAAACTAAGATATGAAAACAACGAATCCATACAAAAACACCAAGCAAATCAAAACTAATCTCAGATCCAACACATGGCAATAATAATCAACACATACATAAAAGCCAAATAAAAAATTAAACAACAAAACGAATCACAAGCCGATTTACACATTCGAATCATTAAGCGAATAATCAGGTTTCAAAAAAAGGTCACCAACTTAAAAAAAAACAAAAGATCGAGTTCGGAAAACCGCAGGCAAACAAAAAAAAGCTCTTACTGAATCCATTTTCAACGAGGTAATTGAAGGTATGGCCATCGCAGTTATAGGTGAACTTGTTGTCAGACGCCGGTAGTTTCTGGAGACATTGAGCTGCGATGGTGGTGAAATTACCGGTGAACTCAGTGTACTCGGCGAGGATCACAGTTCCGCGTGCCACGAAGCTGTAGATCAAAGACTGTTGCCCCATCTCTTCAAAAACCCTAACCCTTCACAAGCAAATGATTCAATCCGCAAAGAGTCCAAGAGAAGGAGAGGGCGATGAGATCGGAGCAGATATAGGAAAATGAAACAAATGCTGGATTTGATACAAATTTATATTATATATACATTTATATTATATATACGTAATACTCTAATTTTGTCCTGGTCTTTTAATTTCATTTGAAGATGATCAAGAGTTAATTTGAAGATATTTATGCTCGATGAAGAATTAGTTCGAATGAAGTGGGGATATTGATGAGTGATGAATGAAAGCTAAAATTGAGGAACTTTAGGTGTTTAATTGGATTGAAATCGTACATGTTAGAATTCGAGACACAAAATTGAAATTCAATCCCAAATATAAATTTAAGTGTCTAAAGTCCAATTACAAATTAGACCCAAATTAATTACAAGTGCAAAGACCCAAAATTGGACCCCAATCCAGAGCCCAACGGCAATTCAAGACCCAAGCCTATATAGCAAAATTTAACCCGGTTACAAGGCCCGATCCGACCCAGCAACTTGACCCGGTTCAAGTCAGTCGCTCGTGCGCCCATGTGAAGCACTGCATCCGAGCATCCCACGTGAAGAATCTGTCGGCCACCAACAACTCTCACGGGGCTATCGCCCGTGCCCATGCCTCTAACTGCAACAGCTCGGTTCCCCACTGCTTCCCGTACCCTGCAAGTATGATTCCAAGGGAAGACCCATATTGGCACCATCGAAAAAACAAAAGAAAGAAATTAACAAAGGGGTTCTCGTTCAAAAAGAGGAGCACGAGCATAGAGAAGGGGGGATCACCCATCAAAAACGGGGGGGGGGGGAGGACGAAGCAAACGAAAAAAAAAACAGGACAAGGAGGACCAACGATTATAAAAAGCAGAACACACAGCAAGGGGTTCACCAACGCTAGGCAAGCAAAAGAATCAGCACCCGGGGGGGAAATCAGTAACAAACGAGAGAGGAGCTACAATTGTAATCGAATTAGGGGGAAAACAAATTGTAAACGAGGAGATATTTCATTCTTCCATTCAAAAGCAATAGAGATAGAGGTTTTTTTCTAGCATCTAATTATATTCTTTTCAAGGTTTTTTCTTTACTCATACTAACAGTAGTGTCCTCATTATTTTTTTTCTGTTTTCAAAGCATTGTACAAAAATAACCAAGCATAGATAGGAAACAATTCATCATTTTTCTTATTCCTAATTTCCCTATTCAAAAAACCAAAACGAAGTAAATAAAGACGAGACAGAGAGCAAAACGTTTACCTTCGTTAGTGGTCTCTTCGTCGGCGGTGAAACCTTTGAGGTCGGGGGGAGTCGAGCAAGTGAGCCGAGGGTTATGTTGAGTTTGAGGGTTGGGGTAGGTCACCAGATTGTCATGTTGGGTGGCCAAAACATTAGTTTTTAAGGGTTTTTTTAATTGAGAATTTTAGCCCCAAATCGAGGGTTTTAGATTTAAATAGGAGATTTGGGTTAATTTAGGGTTAGGGTTAGATTATTTTTAGGTTTTGGTGTTTTAGGAAATAGTTTGTGAGGTTTGAGTTGTTCATCGGAGTTTTGTTTGGTTTCTCGTCGAAACCGTTGAGAGAGTGGAGGCCTCGGTGGCTAGCTTTGGTTTTGGTGGGTTTTGAAGGGGGCTGTCGAGAATAGTTTGAGGATGAGAGGGTAGAGGAGATAGCGACGCTATGAGATCGAGGGAGTAGTGAGTTTATCTGTCGTTTGTGTCTTCACTGGTGGAGTCTCTTGGCAGCGTCGTTTGAAGAGAGAGTGGGAGGGAGGTTGTTGAAGAGAGATTGAGACTGAAGAAGAAGGAGAATGCGGTTGGGATGGCTGAGTAGTGAAGTGATAACTAGGGTTTTAGTTTTATTTTAAGGTTTGGGTAAAATGTCGTCGTTTAGGGGTCTAGGGTCCCCGTTTCCCGCGTGGATTATTTTCTGTATTGGCCATTCTAGTTTTCTTGTTAATTTATTTCGATCCTAAATCATTATTTTTGCGGTTCTAATTTTGCCTCTATATTTCTCGCTAGTTTTATTTTGGTCCCTAAGCTCATGTTTCTTAAGTTTACGCATGCTTTTGCACTTAACCTATAATTCCACTTCTTGTGCATTTTAGTCCCTAGGTCGAAGTTTGTATTGTTTATAATTTTGTTTCTGTATTTTTGCATGTTGCATTTTAGTCCTGAGTTTGTTTGGATTTATTCTGTTTTTAGTCCCTTTAAATAAGAATAGTTTCATTTCAGTTCTTAGTATTCAATATGGTATAATACTAGTATTTCTACCTTAATTTGTATTTTATTTATAATTAGGATATTAAATTTTTATTTAATAGTATTTAGTCCTCGTTTTAATAAATATAATTATTTTTCTGAAATTTATAATTTGTTATGTTATGTTTTGTTTGTTGTGTTCAGGTCACTTTTGTTCATTAAATATAACTATGTATAGAGTATATATTTTTAATTATAAAATATGTATATAATTTTTACTGAAATATCATATTGCAGAATAATTTTGTATATGTTTTTAAATGATCATTGTGTTTAATTAATTGTTTCATGTTAATCTCATATGTATGAATCAACTTGATCACATAATCGGATTAAGGGTAATACCTTTTAATTTAAAACTGTCGGAATAACTTTTCTTAACTTACAGGAAAGTTGTTCTCAACGGTTTTAAATTACAAGTCTATCCCATCATTGTGACTAAAAAATTGATTATTCACTTTAAAATTTGTGAATAAAAGAAAAAGAAATATTCGATTATTTAAATTCATTGAGAAAAGATCGTTAGAACTCACCTAAAGGTCTAGTCTCAATATTTGTAAATAATCAAATATTCTTTATTTTTCTAATGGCTTTGTAATTTTAATTAAATCTATTTTGGTTGATTTTGAATGTTACAAATTTGCATTTTTGTTGTTTTAAGGGATCATAAATCAAATTAAACTCGAGCTTGTGAAATTCGTTGCAAAGACATTAATTAATCGACTAGGTACCGATTTAGGGCGCTGTGGGGGTGCTAATCCTTCCCCACGCGTAACCGACTCCCGAAGTTGGATTTTGGTAACGTAGACCGTAAATTTTTCGTTTTAATTAAAATTAATATTTATTTAAAATGACAATGTTTTTTGGGTGCCCAATCACACCCTAATCAAAGATTGGTGGCGACTCCTCGAACCATACATTTTATTTTTAAAGGATTCCCAAATATTCGAAACGAGAGGTTTTTTCTAAAATCACATTGTTTTTAATTAAAAATGAATCAATGAGATCAATAATTAAAGATGATATGGTTTTCAAAATCTTGCTCCCCCACCCGGTTAAAAATCGTTTCGACAGCTTGGCGACTCCGCTAGGGACTTTTTTTAGAGAGTCAGGCCGGTAGTCGACTAATTAATTGTCTTTGCAAACGAAAGTTATAAGTTCATTTTAATTTGGTTTTTGATCTCTTGTTTGTTTTAAATTTCTTGTTTGCATTTTAATTTGTAATTTGGTCAACGAGTAAATAGTTATACTAACGTGTGATTTGCATGTTTCAGTTTTCTGACCTTTATTTTGGTTTGTGGTGTTTCTTGGATCGAGGAAAAGGATTATGAGTTTCCCCTCACTGTCGCTATAACCTTTTGATATTTAGAGCCTTCTAACTGTGCTCTGTCCCGTTAGGTAGGGGTGAATGCTACGCTTACATGAGAAAAATTATTTTTCTCCGCATGGGCTTTAGCAAGTAACCTCTGGGGTACATGCCTTATGTTTACGAGCGAAACATTGAGTTTCCTCGCATGGACATAGGGAAATGTATCCTCTCGAATTGAACTTGACTCGTTTAAGCCTATGATGGGTGAGAGTCGAGGGTCTGGCAAGCCCAAGAGGGCACCAGCAAAGGACAATTCGAGGACCCTTTTAGTGAAACCAAAACTCTGCCCGTCTTATGCCGAATATTTATCCGCAGACATAAAGGGGAAACGTATTCTAACATTTTCCTCGTATTTATTTTTGTAATAAGAATGAAAACTAGAAAACCATACGGTTAGGTTTTATATTTTTTGAACAAGCATGTGAATTAGATACCATGCAGTTAGGATTTTTTGTGAATGACAAAGCATGTGGGTAGATATCATGTTAGGTAGGATCTACTAAAGCATGATTGGGTAGCCAGCATGTGAGGGTAGGTTTTATTTGATGTTTACGGTATCTACTATCTTATTGTTTACCTTATGTGCACTAACCCATTTTTGTTCTCTGTCTATTTTATTTTATTTTGATTTTATTGCATTTGCATCCTCATGTCATCGAGGGGTGTTAATTCACAAGTGATTGACTAACAAGAAGGCTGACCATATTGAGGCAAGAAATTCTCCACCATGTAGTCAAAACTGGGAGATCCAGATATGTTTAAATGATCCATTAAAAAGGGCACCCGATGAATGAAGAGATTTGAAGCTGATTGAAGAATTCTTTTAAAACTGCAAAGGCCAAGATGTTGAGTCAAGGGATAAATACAATCATACCAAGGACGAGAAGACCGTTCATAAAGACGAGAAGACCATTCACCAAGGACATGAAGACCATTATGCATGGAAGGTAAGAATGAAGATTTCAAGATTCAAGACATCAGACGTCATCAAAGGTGATAAAATACGCCGACAACTTTGGGTGTAATGTTAGATTCCATGAAGAATGTGGCTCGATAAAATAAAGAGATGAAGAATCACAGTTGTATTTTGATTACATGGTGTACTTATTGAATTCTTGTTGTCTAAGTGAACGGTTGTTCTATAAGTGGTCACTTTTGGAATTAACACCTCGTGCATCTGCATTTACATTTGCATTTGTACTCGCTATTTTATTTTCCTATTGATTTACTTATTTTACTATTGTTGCCTTTTTTCATTTTGTTATCTTATTTGTACTAACTTGTTTTTTATGTGGTTTTTCTCATTGTCTGCATTGCATGATCATGACATAATCAAAAGGTATCGATTTGTGAGTGGTCAGTATAGTAGAAGGTTTTCATGATGGACAAGGGGTTTCATGATCAAGAAGACTATAACACAGATGAGAAATGGCATCCTAAGAAAGCTTCGAGAATAGTGGAAAGATCTGTACCCGAAGATCGCGTGGCTGAGGAAGAGCAAA